AAAAAAAAAAAATTAAACGACACTTATCTTTCAAGAAGTAACGACGAGAATCATAAACGGAATGAGTGATTAAAGATGCATAGGTATTTCATAGGTTTTTCTTCGTATATTGATGAATCACATTTCTTCATCTGAAAATATGTGTTACTCATTCGATTTAACATTTTCAAGATAATTTTAAAGATAATTTCGAAAGAACTTAGCTTATATTTGATTCAATCTATTTCACAAGTAATTAATTAATTTATTTAGATTAGATATTTATTTAGATTAGAATATATATATATATATGAATTCAGTAAAAGTCTAAATAAATATATAATTTTAGAAATAATTTAAATCTTATATAAATGCGCAGTATTTTTTTTACTTTAAAAAAAACAAAATTTTATTTAATTTTCATGAATCATTGATGAATCATTTTTATATGTTAGCAATATATTATCTTTTTTAAAATAAAATGTTGATTAAAAGATTTTATTAAATATTCTCACACAATGAAAATAAAAATTTGTAATAGGAACTTAATCATTATTAAATGTCTTAGATTATGTATTTATAATATTGATCTTATAATGTTGAATTAAACATATTTTTTGAAATTGTATTTACTAAAGAATAAGTAAAAATTTAATTACCTAATATAATATAATATATTAAATATATAAATTAATTAAAAATTCTCGATATTTTAATTTTTATTTTATTTTATTTTATTTATTTTATTTTTTTTTCCTATACATTATCTTATGTACATGTTCTAATAAAGATAAAGTTTTAACAAGTTTCTAAAATTCTTCGAAATTAGATTTGTAATCAATTACAATAATCTTCTTGTTATTATTTATGAAAAATTAAATTTTTACGTTCTATTATTTCTAAATATAAACAATTGTAATTAATTGATGAAATTATTGATTAAAATAAATTCAGAGTCTAAATAACAATTTAAATAGATTATTATTCATTAAATCAATAAATTCTTATACACGTAATATTCTTATAAGTTTTTTATGCAAATTATTCTTTATCTAGATTTCCCAACTTTCAAATCATAAAAATAGTAAAAAAGTTTTAAAGTTTGAAAATACAAAACTTGACATTTAAAATTTTGAACATTTCATATCTAATTTTTATATCATTATATGGAAATAGATCAAAAATATATTTTTTTATATTATTGTTTATAATTTCTTCTAATTCATATTTCTGTAGTGAATATATTATAATACATTAAATCAAATCTAATTTATATGTACATTATGAATCATGTGAAAAGTCATTTAGAATGGAGAAAGAGAAGTTGAAAGATTTTAACCTCAAAATTCACATGTAAATTTACGTGAATGAAATGTGAAAATCTCATAATCTCTAAAAAGAATTTTGTTTTAAATCTCAATAAAGAATTTATCCAATTGTAAAAATTTATCCAATTTTCCTATCCAATAGTATTGTAATCAAGATTATTCGGAAAGGTTTCTTCATATCGAGACTGCAATCGATAAATATATTTTTTTTCGTATTTTTGACGATTTCACTTAAGTAGATTTAACGGAGATTATATGCAAAAAATTTTATTGCGATATACTTTCTTTGAAAATCTTCTGATTATACTAAGTCAGCTTTTATCAATTTATTATCCGATTAATCTTCGTGATTGTTAGTTCTATAGAAGGTGCTTTAGAAACAGATAACCAAACTTTATTGTTGTATTCTCCCTAAAAATAAAAAAAAAGTCATAAATTTTTTTTCATTAAAGTTTTCTTTTTTGAGATATAGATATTTTTGTATACTTTAGATATTTTGTATATTTTAATCCTTTATACTCGAGATATAAATAAACTGTTTTCTAAGTATTAGAAAGAATTATTAACTTAATTATTATAATATTTAGACTTACTAATATTTTATTTTAATGAAATTTTAATGAATTAATTAATTTTAATGAAATAAAACTTTAATAATGCTCTTAATTTTACGTATTAAGTAATAAATAATAATATTCATTTAAAATTTCAGTGTGAATAAAAAATATTTGTATTTCTATATAATTATTTTATATTTTTATATATTTTTAAATATTTTTATTTTATAAAGAAAATATAACATTAAAGTTTGGCATTATTTCTGAGATACTTTAATCTCAAAATTAATTTTGATAATCAAATTGGATCATTTTTGATATAATTTTTTGATAGTAACTTTTGACCTAATCATTATATTATTAAATAAATAAAGTTTAAGTATATAAATAGTTTATATACAAGTAATATTATATGAAAATAAATGATCAAGAAATAAGTAATAAAAAAATGAAACTAATAACATTTTTTTATATTAATAATTCTAAAATGATATCAGTTATTAAACTAAATTATAAACTAAATTGAAAATAATCATAAATATTTATTGTTACACACGTATAATATAATTATATATTTCGATATATAAATATTATTTACTATAAAATACTGCATTAAGTTTTTATAATAATTATATAATAATAAACTTTTTTATAATATAATATATATATTATATATTATACTTATATAATATATATTCTATATTATGTTTTTATATAATATATAAAAAAAAAGAATATGTTTTATTTCATGTCAAACACGTGAACTTGTTCGCTGATTTTAAACGATTGACTC